AAAATTTTTACCTTTCCATCACCCCAAAGTCGTTTAAGGTTGCTGTACTGCATGTCCATGACAACTAAACTTCCTAAACGAAAGTCTGTTGGAATGGAGTGTAGAGGAAATCCTAACCAGCAAATCCATCGTAAACGATTTGGAAAATTTGCATAGCTTCCCTTGAGATGTACATGACTGAGTTGTAACAGTCTCAGCATCTTCAGTTTTGAAAATGCTTTAACCTCCAAAGTCTCAACAGACGTAACTTCGGCCTTCAAGCTGATTCCTTCAATTGCACGAGTTCCCTAATATTGAACAAGCAATTTTTTCATTGAAATGTTATCCCAAGTTTACCTTATAATTTTTGGTTGAGAAAGAGAATGCATAGGAACTTTTTTGTTACTTACATGATAGTTTGCCAATCCATTCATAACATCAACAGGATCCCATAATCTACTCCATCTTTCACAGTTTTTTGGAGATGTTCCTCGGACAATATGTCTTCCCATATCTCGTAATAAGTCGTGCATCATTAGCCTGTTATCATGGACTGTAATGAGGCACCTTTCCTTTAGTACACTGAGTCCTATGTCGGGATATAAGTCGCATCCATCCAATATGCAACGTACATAGTCTTTATCCACACCGATGAAGAAGCAAGAAATATCCAAAAATATATCTTTCTGGAATGCGTTTAGAGCATCAAAGCTGATCTCAAGCTTGGCTTGAATGTTATCATTGGGTAAACTTTTCAACGATTTCAATGTGCTTTTCCATTCGGAAATGCTTCTCTTGAAAAGAAAACTACCCAAGACTTCCATAGCCAAGGGTAGTCCTCCGCAGTATTTAGCCAACTTTTTTGAGAGAAGGATAAACTCTTCAGAAGGTTCACTTGTTCGAAACGCATGCAACCTTATAAGCTTAAGAGATTCTTCACTGTTGAGCGCATTTGGTAAATATATATTTTCAACGCTGAGCAACTCTAACAAATGCATGTCCCTGCTTGTAATGATTATCCTGCTTCCTGGCCCAAAGCAGCTCAAATCTATTCCGACTGAAGCTAGCTGATCAACGTCTTCAACATCATCAATTACAACAAGTACTCTTCTATTGCAAAATCTTTGTTTCACTGCGTGATCCATGTTGAACACTTGGTCATTGTTTTTTGTGATATCAGAAAGAAGTTTTCGCTGAAGATGAATTTTCCCTTCAGGTTTCTTGGAGTATTCCTTAACGTTTTCTAAGAAACTTGTTCCTTCAAAACGATCAGAGAATTGATTATAGACTGCCTTCGCTAGTGTTGTTTTACCAATCCCACCCATTCCGCAGATTCCGATAATTCGTGCATCATCCGAACCAAAGCACAATAGCTTATAAATTTCTTGTACACGTGGTCTGATACCAACAGCGTTTGCTGGTAACTGCATGTATGATATAGACGACATTTTCCTAATTTCTTTAGTTATTTCGTCGATTAACTCTACCTCAGCCCTGCATAATGTATATCATTACTTGTTAAAAAGAAGATGAAAAATCCAAGCCAACAGCAGAGAAACACGAACTTACTGGTTGTTTGCCCAGACAAGCCCAGATAGATTTGCAACTTCTGTTAAAGCTTCCTTCCACTTCTGCAACTTCTCTGGGTAGCGGGCTTCATGCCTAGAAAAAGATTCACCATATGATCCTCTTTGTCTACGCACATCGGATGGGTCAACGTTGTAGAAAACTGGGAATACCACATGTCCTGGGTTGTTTCTACGACATTCCATAATGTGCATAAGTTCATCAAGGCACCACATTGATGAAGAATAATTTTTTGTCAAAACGACAAGGTGAACTTTGGAGTTTTTAATCGCCTTCAAAAGGGTTGGAGAAAGGTTTTCTCCTATTTTTAGTTCTTTGTCGTCCATGAATATGTGAATCCCAGATCTCTTGAGACTATCATAGAGATGGCTTATAACGTTCATCCGCACATCTTCGCCACGGAAACTTAAGAATACATCGTAGCTCCATCGCTCAGGAATTTTCCCCCTGGCTTTAGCCATACCTACAAATAAATTCGGGATGTTTCTATTTAAATAGTGTATTCGTTCCTAGAAGACCTTCTTAATCGGTGAAATAAATCTGAAACAGAAAGAAAACAATTGACAAAAAGCAAGAGTTACTTACTTGAAAGCTCTTCTTCTTGGTAGGTAAATTAATTAGTGAAACATCTCCCTCTTGGGAGTACCCAACAATCAGAACCCCTGATATCGCAAAATAACAACAAGACGGATCTGATGAAAGAGAAAAATGTAGCAGGAAAATCTATGAAGTAGGAACGATAAAATTCAGATGACTTGTTCTCTTACTTGTGGGAAGGGAACACGTTTGTTGGCTTCTTCCGTTGACTTTAACTTTATTATTGACTTTTCAACAAGTCATTCTCAAAGTTAAAGTCAAAAGATTTAAGAACCATATCACTTCTCATCGAAGGAAAAATGATTTACATTTATTAGCACAGTTGCTACTCTAGGTTAAGCAAAACTTCATCAGACATACCAGCGAGCGCATGTTCACAACGTTTCACCTTAGATCATGGACCATGAAGTTAACCGTCTCTTCCGTAGAGTTTGAGTTTCTTGCGTTGTTGCTTGAGTGTCACTTTGCTCTGGTTCTTCAATTTCTGTTTCTCTTTCATCCATCTCAATGTCTTCATCTTGAACATCTTCCTCATTCATATCAATATATTCACTCTGGACATTGAGCATTTCTATTGTATGTTGAGACTCAAAGTCCATTCTGCAAAATTAATAAACAACTAAAGTAGTTTAAACTTCAGCTCACAATACATGAAACGTGCAACTATACTGGATTATTAAATCATAAGAAGTGATGTGATGAATAAAACATAAAATTCAATGAAACATAGCCACATCTTCTATCAAAACTTTACTAATTAAATTAAATAACAACTAATTGGTATCCTATACGAGATTACATGAACATAATAACTTCAAAACCCAATTCAACAACATTACATGATCTAAAAAAACCCATGAAATCTGCAAATAATTTGAGGGCAAATCCAATAAACCCATAAATTAGAAACGAAAATAGAACCAACCAAGATCTTAAAACCAAGAACAAAACAAAAACAAACAACACGAAGACAAACTCACTTGAATCTGTTGAATGCGATAAGCTATGGAGAAGAAATTGAAGAATTGAAGACGACAAGATTCGTCGGAGCTTCGCCGGCAAAACCTTAGGCTCGAAGTTGAGAAGTGAGAAACTGAACGACGTCGTTTTTCACTTGCTCAGACCTAGAGATATTTAAACGGGCCACATATATAAAATTGGGCTGAACCGTTTAGGCCCAATTCTTTGTCATCAACAACAAGTTTGGCTTACGACATTTTCCACTGAGACAAGGCAGAGGAATAACAGAGTTTTGGGAAGTCCACAATCAGTAAGTGAGTATTCACCAAAAACACAATCAATATACGTCGTAGAGTGGTTCACCGCTGAATGTCATATCTACAACTACAAGTAATTAGTTAAAGGACAGCCTCATCAAAAATTTAGGCAATATCACTGGTGGCAAATTTAGTATAATGAAAATAATTAAATTTGTTAAATACCCTTAGCTAGAAAATAAAATTAATAGCATTTGTCTCCAAAATTTGTTGAAATGTTTATTAATACCAAATTCTGCCATGTTACTTAAAAAAAACAAAAAAAATCAAGCAAGAAATGAGAAACTTGATGATGCAACAACAATTTTAGCTCCATAGATGCAGGTAGTGTGACATCCTAATTAAGCTTGCGGCTACACGTAGTCCAAATAATCAATGCAAGTGCCAAAATCTCAGCCATAGTGTGTTGAAAATTTTAATTAAGAAGAAGGCATGCATTCTGCTATTAGAAGAAGGCATACATTCTTTTTTTTTTTTAATGTAATATTAAATTAAATTCAAAGAAAAAAATATACGTTTTTACAACTAGTGCAACTTTTGGCTTAAAATGAGAAAACAGAAATCGAAACAAAAAATCAAAATGTTTTTAGTTTAGAGTCTCGACTCAAACCATCGTTGAAGGCCTTTGTCGTATCGTCTATCTCCAGTGGCTCTTATTGCTGAAAATTGATTCCGAAGTTGTTTATCTATTCATGTGATTAGTTGACTTGGCGTGCTCGGGTTGTCACCGTGTCTTCTCCCGTTTCGTTCTCGCCATATAGTGTGGATCGTGGCTTGGAATACGTATCTCACAATGAAGTTTTCGATTCGATCATTCCACTTCTTTGAAACAGAGTTGATTAGGGAGGACCAGCTCGTCGAATACCTTGCTTTAAAAATGTTTTTGGCTACAGCTCTCCAAACCTGTGAGGTAAAACCGCAGCTAAAACCGCGTTTCAGTACTTTATATGTTTTATTAATGATGAAGAATGAAGGGCTTCAACTCCAGTTTTCTTTTGTCTACAATCTAATAGAACATAACTTTGAAAAATATAACCACCTTTATTTCTTACCATCATTCTAAAAATATATATTCAATGTTGTATAGATAATTTCATTTGTTGGGAGTCTCATTATAAAATTAGTATTTTCACTAAATGACTAAAATTTTGATTCAAGTTGTCAAAATTACTATTGGAAAAAGTGAATTTGCAAAATATCTTTACGTAGGTGAAATGTGCACGAGATTTTTCCATATTTCACTATTTTTGTTTTTCTTTCTAAATGACATGCAATTTATACATTATCCTCGTTATTTATTAAAATGAACCTCGCATCGTTTCCCATATAATTATTTTACCACTCATGTTTACCATTTTTGAGCCTAAATTTGACTATCTACACATAATTAACTCTTACAAAATTTAAATTGCTTTGATTTAAATGATAAATATATTATCACCCATAAACTTTAGACTTGGATCCCCCACCGGTAGACTGGTAGTGGTTACTAAGGAGTAGGGACAAAAAATATCAAAAATATCTTATCTATAAATGGGATACACACACAAAGCAACTAGTCAAGAGCACTCAACTCCAATTCTCATTAAGAACAATGTCTTCTTCTTCTTCTTCAACCAAATTTTGTTTCTTCGCTTGCCTCCTCCTATTCACATTTTCACACAACCTCGTGGCTGGACAATCCGACAAAGTTAAGCTCAATCTTTACTATGAATCACTTTGTCCTTCTTGTCAGAATTTCATCGTCCATCATCTAGGCAAAATCTTTAACACCGATCTCCACACAATCACCGATCTCAAGCTCATTCCATTCGGTAACGCTCATGTTTCCGATGATCTTACCGTTACTTGCCAGGTTCTTTTCAATTTTCCCTTTTCTTAAATGGTCCTATTTATATGATTATTTCATAATCTTATTCTAAATGATTATGTTTGATAAATTTGTGAATTAAGCATGGTGAAGAAGAATGCAAATTAAACGCCCTTGAAGCTTGTGCCATAAGAACTTGGCCTAATCAGGTACATAACGTAATGATTAATGCATTTATTTACTCTTTTTTTTTTGTGTGACAAAATGAGTATGAAAATTGTGATGGTTTTGGAACGCAGAGATTGCACTATAAGTTCATACGGTGTGTTGAAACTAACACGAATGCTTGGGAATCATGTGTTAAGAAGTATGGAGGCGAGAAAGCGATTAATGATTGTTACAATGGTGATCTCTCTAAAGAAGTAGGTGTACACATAAACAAAACACTTATTATACACATTTTACAATATGATTCTCTAATTTTTGTTCTGGTTGTTATTGCACAGCTGATACTTGGGTATGCAAACCAGACATTAAGTTTAAAACCGGAGCATAAATACGTACCATGGATGACACTCAACGGCGAACCACTCTACGAAGTATACATAACTTCTTTATAACTTTGGCTAATTGTGTTTTTTGGTGAAAAATCACATACTGATTGTGTTATATTTTTTGGCAGAATATTGGTGATTTTGTGGACTTAGTCTGCAAAGCTTATAAAGGAAAGGCTGCGCTCCCACAACTCTGTTATTCCTCTGTCTTGTCACAGAGGACAATGTTGAAACTTGCATTCTCCTATGTTGATGAAGCTATAATTCACTAAGTTAATATATAACTACTAAGATGGATTTAAGCTTACATTAGTGGAAAAAATAAATAAAGACCTTTTTCTAAACCTTTTTATTAAAAACCTGTATTGAACTATATTAAGATTTAAGTCTGACCATTTCTACAAGGAAATAATGTGAAGCAGCTTTTTTTTTTTTTCCATAGGACTGTTTTAGAAATTGAAATCATCTCAGTTTGTAGTTTGGTTTAGTGGAAATGGACCACAAAGGCATTATGAACATATTTTCAAACTTCTTTTAATGTGGTGAACGGCACACAGCTCAAACGTAGGAAGTAGAAACAGCAAGCATTCTGCTATAAGTATAGAGGAATACATGAAGTTTTATGATAAAGAATGAGCTAAAGAACATATCTTTCTTATTCAAATTAATCAAGATACTATAAGATGATCACTTTTAAATACAACACAGAATATGAAATTCATGACACAGGTCTCTTAAATCTTGCTTCCTGCTAGAAATCGGCTATAGAAGTCTAAAGCCTCCCGCGGTTTGTACTCAGGAACCGTATGTCCTGCACCCTGCAAATTACCACAATAATAAAAATTATAACAAACATTTTTTTCAAAATTAAATGAGATGGTTATTTGAGTTGAGATTCAATATTTGCCTTGATGGTTAAAAATGTGAGATTGTTTGCATATCCTTGCGTATACCTGCAAATATGTGAATACATTATTGTAGAAACATTGGCAGCTCCAGAAAGAAATTATATTTTCGACTAGGCCAAGAAAGATTACCCCGCGACTTGGTCGTTTGATATCCATGCCCTCCATTCATCAATCACTTTGTATCCAAGAGATTTTGTCCAAGCTTCAGAGCCAGTAAACGGAACACACATATCGTGATCCCCGCTACAAATGAAAACTTATTTCATCATTCTCTAAACTATAGCCTATGGCTTCAGATTCATTTTATATGTTCTTGTTTAAGTACCTGTAAATAAGAGCTCTATATCCACTTAGAGTAAGGTTTCTATGGAATTTGATCATGCTTCCTGCATCGTGATCGAACGAGAGTTTTCCACTGCAAAGTTCCCACCTTCCAATCTCCTTCTCCTGTAAAGATTCCCAACACATCAATCATCTGTTTTCATGATATATAGTAGTAATCAAAAACCGAGTTTGAGACCTCTTTAGTATGAATAGCTTTCCTAATCGCTGGATCGTTCAGCCACGCTGTTGCAACTCTATCATCCTGTAAATAAACGTTCTTTTTTTCAGCTTATAATCTCAAAGTGGTGAAACAGAGAGGCATGTGGTTTTGGTTTACTTACAATGCAAGGAACAGAGACGTCAGCAAGAAGTTGAGACCAGCTAGGAACAATGCCTGGACGAACAGGAGCACGAACTGGCCACGCTCGACCAAACATTCTTTTTCTTATAGCTAACGGTCGTTCGGTTTTACCTAGCTCAAGGAGACTTGAAGGTAGTGATCTAATGTCGAAAGCAGATAGCGATGTTCCGTGGTAACAAGGCTCAAGAATGTTGTATATGTTCAACCTTTCAGTATCCTAACATGTAAGAATAATATTAAAACTACCATCTTACAAACATTCTTATTGTCTATAAATTAACATAAAAACATTATTCATACATCAGAAACTTTCGTATACTGTTCCTCGCACTCAAGTCCCTCTATTTCATAGAAATTTCCATGGCAAGCTTTTGTAACGTTCTGCGATTTTCTTTTCGATGTGTTAGATAATATAAGAAGAAAGAAAGTGGAAGAGTAAGCATCGATTGAGAAACTAAACAAACCTCAAAGAGTTCATCAGAGATTAGTCCCATCCCGTGTGCAAACGGCACAAAAGCATTTCCATCAAACTTTGGATCCGCAACTCCATTGCCAACCAAATATCCCTGTCCAGATCATCCAATCATTTTCTGAAACTAAACGAGAACTCAAGAAACCGAGATTTAGTCGTTAAATCTCGTTACCTTGAAGTTGAGAGACGGCTTTACCCCATTTTTGTTCCCTGCAAGGTAAACATAAACCAAAAGATGGATAAAAAAGCTTGACAAGATGCATCATAGACTATGAATGGAGAAGATACCTTTGACAACTTCTGAAGCAAGAGTTGGGACATAAACTCCGGCGTAAGATTCTCCAGAGATGAAAAATGGATTTGATTGAAACTCAGGAAACATTTGGAACCACTGGGGAATAACATTTTAAGGAACAACGCATTTAGTGATCAGAATTACAACCAAAAATCTAAAAACATTTGCTATGATTCACCTTGAGAAGGAACGCGTGAGAGTCAACCGCGGTTTTAGTATCACCAGTTATGTAATCAGAAATGTTGTTTGAGTAAGAGAATCCCACACCAACAGGAGAATCAAGGTATATGATGTTAGAGACCTGCAAAAGTAAACAAATCATACATCAAAACATTACACAAAGTAAAACCAGAAAAAAAAAAAAATCAATACTGTTCTTTAAAATCACCTTGGACCAACTATAAGGATTAAGATGCAAGAGTGGGAGACTATTGTTTTTCTTTGGTAGTTCAAAATTGAATGGACCATGCTCATACACGAATCCATCCATGCTTGAACAACCTGGACCACCATTGAGCCAAAGTACGACCGGATCTTTCGATGGATCCTTCTCCGATTCAACAAAGTAATACCACAGATTCTTTCCATGATCCTTATCAATAGTCACATACCTTATATCCAAAACCAAAATCAAGAATTCAATATTTTGAAAATTTAAAATTTCAAGAACAGAAAATTCAATATTTTACCCGGAGTAATGTTTTGAAGGAAAAGTGCCTTCGAAGCCAGGAAGTTTGGTAATAAGAGCAGATTCAGGAGCTGATTCTGTTATTACAAACACTAAAGAGACTAATGTCACAAAGACAAAAACTTTCATTAACCAAACCATTGTGATTATTAACATAAACTAAGAATGAATAAAAAATTGATCTCTGTGGTATTGCTTTATATAGAACAACACAGAAAAAAATCTTGAGGATATTTTGTTAGTTGGTCATAAACCAACAAAAACTATGAATGTTTTGGAAAATGATTTAGCACGAATTAAGGATGAAATTCTGGTTAAAAAAGACAAAAAAGATGATATTTTTAGAACAAAATTTGGAAACTTATGATTGGTATATAGATTATGTGATTCTGAAAAGCAAAAGTTTCCTTAAAAGGTACGATATTGAGCATTTCTATAAAAAAAAAATGGTGATTGCGTCTGCGTTTAGTTTTGATTTACATAAGCATGATTGAGTGGCGCGAGTTGACTTGGGACCGCTTATTAAAGTAACAAGCGGTTACTTAAAGTGACGACTGGCTTAACAAATGATGACACGTGGCTGATGTCTGAGAATTTTTTTTGTTAAGTTTTAGGTGTTTTGTTGGAAAAAGATTCCCAACAAAATGATTAAAAAGTTTTGGTTTGTTAAATTATGTAGAAAACAAACTGATTATTCAATTATTGTCCGTTTTTCGGAAAGCATTTTGAATTTATGAGGATAAAAGCTAACCATAGCTTTTAAACCTATAAATCTAAGATCTAGTAAAAAGTAAATTTTCATAGAAGAATAGATCCTCGTCCGTCCTACTTTTTATGTTTAGTTAATTTTTCTTCTTTTTATGTGGTCTTTTGTGGAATTGTTCTCATATTATAAAACTATATGTAAGAAAAATATAAAATCAGAAACTTTGGGAAGAGAAGAATTTGAAAAAGGTAATAAATAAATAGTGTTCGTTGTATTATGATTTCAAAATTTTGAAGTAAAAATTTGTTTTTTTTTTTTTGTTTTTTTTTTTCTGAAAAAGAAGTAAGATGGTGATGATGCTGGGAGGTGCGAGTTTCATAAGAGATGTAATAGCATTTCCAAAGACAACCACAACAACCAGAATAACAGTTTGCAAGTTTCATCAATAATACATTCTAATGTTTTAGACATTTTTCTTGAACATCATGGTAGATAGTGATTTTGTAAAAGAATTTATAGTGTAATAAGATGACCAAATATATATGTCTACAATGTTTTTGTTTAATTTACATTAGCATCGGTTATCCCGTTGTCAACTTCTCAAATTTTGTAACACAAAATGATCATATTATTTTGTAAGCCACACTTTAAATTTTCTTTTTCTTTTTTTTTAACTTGAATAACAAACGCATAGTATTTTTTTAATCAACATGCATTTAATTTGATTTGAATACAAATAAAGAACTTGCGTAAAGTTCAAAAGTTTTAAAGACATAATTTTAAACGAAAAAATATAGAAAGAAAATATGGGTTCAAGTCATGGCTGAGAAAAAGATTAGAACTTAGAAGGGAAGAAAATGAAACTAACACATGATTTTCTTTATAATGTTTTTAGTCTCGCAACAAGATTTCAAATTAAAATACAAAACTGAGATCATTCTTCTTTGCAAATATTGAAATAAGCTTTTTAAATAGCAACAAAAGCATTTATATTTCTCTAACGAAAGTATTTTTAATTACTATCGGTTTGTCACATAATATCATATTTTCAACATCAAACTATATCTATATATACATTTTTAGAGAAGATTTGGCCTCAAAAATCTTTTTACAATTTTAATATTGTACATTTAGTCCCTACAAATAAAATCGGACAAAATATTTCTCTTAAGGAAATTTACAAATCAATCTTAATAGTAAATAACATTAATTAGTTATAGATGATTTACAACAATATTTCCTAAGATTGCGATAACAAATTTGAGACATTAATGCTAATTGAAAATAATTAAATGAAAATCTACAATAGGATCTTTCATTATTAATTGGCTTTATTCCTAAAAACATTTAAATATAAAAATAAAAATAATCAATACATGTTTAACAAAATATGAAGTTTTAAAATAATAATAAAGTGATTAAATTTTTTAAATTTAATTAAAACCGTTGAAAATAACCGAAGAACTGAAAAAGTTCCAAAAATACTTGAATCTATACTATTAATTGGGAAGCACTCAAACATAAATAACCTTATAAAGTGTAAAGTATTACAAAAATGCCATTGGTTTTTGTTTTTAAATAAATTCATTAAAGATACAATAGTAATCACAAAATAATATAGTTAAATAAAAAATAATAAAATTCTTTAAAGTAATTATTAGTTTCCAAAAAATTAAACTCACTTTCTCTCTCTTATTAATTATGGACAAAAATTTAATTTTTTTTTCTAAAAAGTTGTTAACCAATGAGAATTAAAAAACTAAGATTTGATATCCAACTAAAATTTTACCAATCCTAATAAACTATTCTATATCAAAAATAAAAAGAAAAATAATACCATTTTAATTCAAAATTAAAAACACTAAGTTTAAAATTTTTTATCAATGGAGGATTTTAAGATTGAATTTGAAATTTCGTTAAAAAAATTAAATACAAAAGACTCAGTTTTGTTATAATATTTTCACAAATTTTGAAATATAAAACAAAATTTTATTTCACAATTTCTAAAAAAACGATATTGGGCATTCGTTTAGAGCAAGTTTCGGAAATATCTAAACAATAGATTGTACATATTAATTTAGAAATATTTTGTGTTTTCTTTTTTTTTTTCTTCTCAACTGGATCTTCCTTAAACCACTCCATAATATATTGCACACAGTTTTCGAAATAATGTGAACTAATTATATATATTTGCATTCAAAACAATTTATGCAGCAATAACATATCCCTTTTATAGACGTATCTCAAATTTTAATTTTAGTCCAAAAAATCGAATTAATTATGATTAAACAATGAAAAGAAAAATACGCAAAATTTAGCTAGAAACATTAATAAATTTGTTAAAATATATTTGTAACTTTAACAGCATACATATTAATCCGCAAAACTCACTGTATATATTGTAATATTGTATGGTATTTAAAGGTAAGCAAACAAGAATTTGGAACATAATTTTAATAGAATAAAATGGAAATAGAAATTACGAGACGAGGTGGGAGGGGAACATATATTAAAAATCAAACTAAATACTCAACTGGTATGAGTTCGGGTTATGAGCACTATATAAAATAACTTTGTTTACACACATCTGTACATACGTTTTCAGTTACACATACTCTATTTATGACATATGGGACCGTAATATATCTATTTTACATATATCTGACAGGTTATGGGACAAATAATTTATGACATATACCGGACGGGATATGTTTCCTGTTCCAAAATAGTTACGCCTTGCTAATATACATGAAATAACACAAACTAAAACGAACTCATATCCTATTTAACATATGTAATCAAACTGTTAGAACTGTTTTGATTAGTTAAGAAAATAAAAATGTAACACCATTTAACTTTTGCAACTAAATTAGTCCCGATCTTAAAATATAATTATGCATTAACGCAACTGAATTTTTTGTTCATTACTCTAACTTTATAATATTTATATTATTACAAAGTTTACTAATACAACAAAATATTTTATATTTTTAAAATCTATATAACAATTTCTATAAAAATATTTCTACACGTACGTGGATCCAGATCTAATACACTAAAATATATATCATAAAAACAACAAAATAATCTATATTGAATTCAATTTTGTTAGAAATTTTTTAAAATATGAAACTCCGCACGTACGTGCGGGTCATGATCTAGTAGTTAATACATTTAAAGCCTAAAACTTTATATTTTATTTCAAAAGACCAAAATCAAATGAATTTATTTAAATCCATGTCTGGCTGGTTCAACCAGTTCACCGGATTACGGGTTAATGGTTGGTTTTTGTGAGTTTTTCCGGTTTTGAAATTGTCGGGTATTAGAACTAAACCCAAACCCAAAAATTGTCTGGTCGTGGGTTAACCGGTCGGACCGGGCGGTTCGGATCGAACATGAAAACACTGCTAAAAAAACACTACAACTTGGAATTACGTAATTGTGATAATAAATTGAAAATGTATAAGAACTGTAACATAAGGAAAAAAATAAAAAAAAATTTTGCCCCGCGGTGTACCGCGGGTTAAATACAAAAAAATTATAAAACACTAATAAAGCGAAGATTTACGGGTCGGGTAGTAAAATGGGAAACATATCGGATAACATGACTGGTATTGAAAAAAATATCCGATGCTCGATCTTTACGCACATGTAACAGAATTACACCCTTTACCCGACTCTAAGGTCATGGATACGCTTTTTTCGAGACGGGTACAAGTCGGATAAGGAATCGAATACGGGTAACATTTATCAGTATGTGTATGCCTATATCTACCCGATAATACTTGAAAATATCTCACATAATAACAAGACAAATATCACAAAAAAAGGTGTATATATATAATATATATAAAACAAACAAAAATACTCCAACCTTCTTAATTTCACATAACAATGTGTAACTGATCAACGTCCAAACAAAAACAATTAATTTGTATATAAATAAACAAACAAAAATACACGGACTTTCTAAATTCTATAAATTATTCTGCAAAACCAAATAAATTTAAAAATCTATATACGTTGCAAAATAAAAATTAAGTATAAATAATACAAATTTTAAGTTTTAACTTATTTTTTAATTAAAAAATATTATCCCGCGGTGTTATATCCTAGTACTACATACATACCAATAATAATTTCTACTATCCTTTCCTCACTCTTTTTTTTTGGTTTTTTTGGAATTGATCTTTCCTCACTCTTTAAACATTTAACAAACTTATCACTTAACTAGTGGAAAATCCGGGCGGTTATGTCTAACAAACAACATTATATTTTTAAAATTAGAAGCTAATTTGCTGAACCACACAAATATAGAGACGATTTGACCAGCAGTATTGAAATTTCCAAATTTCTCAAATGAACTTGCAGCCAAATATAACAGCCTCGACAAAGTCACTCATCCTAAGGTTCTCGTAACTCTCATTCTAGATCCCTACACGTCTTCTGTCCCATGCCTTAAGCTTCTCAAAAAATGGAATAAAATATATGCTAACGCTTTTCAGAAGTTTAAATTCTTCGATGAATTTAACAAACATTCTAGAACTTTAACAAAAGTTTGCATAGCTTGTTTCTCAATTTTGTGAATATAGAAACCTCAATCCAGTGAATGATTTGTAATAATTTGGAAAATTAGACATTAGAACTAAGCTTGGTGAAAAGCAGCATTACCAGCAATATCATTCAAGACTCGAACTTGTATATGTACCTTTCTAACGACGTTCTTAATTAGTGACAAACTTCAACCGGTAGCTCAATCTTTTATTCACAACGTTCACTCAGACGTAAATGGTGTCAATCCTATAACTAATTCATGTGTTTTGCTGTGCTACACTTTTTAAGTAATAATACACTTTTTTTGGGGTTAACGTCGAATTATGTTATCTATACTACATTGACAGTGTGAAAGTCTCTATTAAATGAAGCGGTGAGACAAAATCACGATTAGAAATCATGTGGGAAATTTATGTTAATTATCTAAACATTATTAATTCGATGCTACGCCACAAACTCATTTTTCCAAAATAAAATGTAGGTAAGACTAAACAACGTAAAGAAGCTTTATAAGTATTGGCGAGAGTTACTTGTTCTTTATGTGTGCTTACCTTTTACCAAGTGTAGGAACATTAACAGTCCTAATTTTCACCTGTTTGAGCTGCCAGCTCGGGTCTCTTGGACACCTATAAAGAGACTATAAGAAAGTAAAAAGTAAGAACCTAGACTTAAGGCATGCACTAAGGCCTATAGATTCTTTGATGATTTAGGCATGGAACCTGTAATACGCACACTATTCTCAAAAGAACCGTACCGTAAATGAGATCATACCTCAGTCTTTTGGCTGTGCAAACACCCATTCACTACCTTCATCATCACTGTCATTTTCGTGCCCTTTTTTCATGCGAAAACAGAGACAATGAATTTCTAGTAGATGAACAAACTAAGGATGGAGATAGGCTATATAAACTCTCCATCAAAACATACCCCATTCTGTTGTTCTGGTTTCTCATTTATTTCGAGATGCACCCACCCTTGCCGATATTCTCCTGCATTCACTTTTTCTTGTGATGATTTGATTAGCCATAAACTCTGTGTTTCTTCATGACTACACAAAACCAAAAAAAGTCCCTACATGAGCAAAACAACATGAATTCAATATATGGGAAAGATGCAATTTCGAAATACCCATAAATTGAAGTGATTGAAGAAGAAGGCCAATATAATATCTTACCTATGAGAGGAGCTTGAAACCCTTTTATGGAACTGAATCTATAAGATACGTGATTGGAGTTAAAAATGAGAAACTGGGAAGCCATAGGAGATGATAAGCTTGAAACAGAAGAGATCATGGGAGACAATAGGTTTAGGGTTAAGACTGTTTTAAGGGAACGTTTCGAATGATTGATTATGTGAAGAGGCGCTTTATGAATTTTTTTTATTGGAAGGTCCCGTTTTGTTGGCTGACATCTTTTGTCTCTAAGGTTTAAGGAAACAATTCTAAGCTGATTTGTCACGTGGCATATGGAGAAGTATTTGTTAGAAAGCTGATATGGATAGGTTGAGAGGCCTCAAACTATCTCTCTTTTATTATTTAGAGATTTGACCATTAAGCTAACTTTTTATCAAGAAAAACCATTAAACCAATTTGTAACCTTCTTCCATTTGACTTTAGATGATCTATATATTTTATTGGTGTTACATACATTCATATCTCCTACATCATACCAAACTATATCCTATATACATTACCAACAAGACATATATTTTATCTCTATATTCTATTAACTAACACACTTCTGATCTATCTTTCCTAACTATTTAACCATTAAACCAACATATCTCTTACTTTTACCATTAAACTAACTTTTTATTATGAAGAACCACTAAACCAACTTGTAACCTTATTTCATATGATATTAGATGATCTACATATTTTATTATTACATACATTCATATCCCCACATTAAACCAAACTATATCCCAACATACATTCCCAACAAGAATTTCTACTAACTAACCCACTTCTTCTTTCTTCCCTCACTCTTTAACCATTAACCAACTTATCTCTAACTTTGGTGTCACATACTTTATATTTTCACTTCTAGACTCTTAAAAATCTTTCATTCACTATTATAAAATCATCACATTTTACTAAAAAACACATCCTTAATTAATCACTCCAAAAATCACTCTAAAATGAAAACCACAATGACCTTTTTTGTTCTTCTTTTCTTCCCTCTCTTAATTGATGCAAAATCAAAAAGAGCCACCCTACATATCCCTCTTGTGCACAATGGTGCACATTTTTACGACAACAAAGTCGTTTTCCCTCCTGTCTCGTCACCCCACTCCCACCGAGGGCTAGCATTTATGGCCGAAGTTCATTTCGGGTCCCCTCAAAAGCGGCAACTTCTTCATATGGACACGGGGAGCAGCCTCACGTGGACTCAGTGCTTTCCTTGCTCCCACTGTTATGAGCAGAAGATCTATCCTAAATACCAGCCAGCAGCTTCAATGACGTACCGCGATGCGATGTGTAGTGAAGATCCCAATCCAAAGTCAAATCCGCATCTCACATTTGATCCTTTGACGAGAAAATGCACCTACCAACAACATTATCTAGACGAAAGCAACATCAAAGGAACACTTGCGCAAGAAATGATTACAGTAGATACCCTTGATGGTGGGTTCAAAAGGGTGCACGGAGTGTTTTTTGGATGCAACGAGTTTAGCGACGGTTCAGATTTTACCGGAACGGGCATATTGGGCCTCGGGGTTGGAAAGTACTCCATCATAGGGGAGTTTGGCTCAACGTTCTCTTTTTGCCTTGGTCTGATAAGCGAACCTAAAGCTTCTCACAACCTAATCCTTGGCGATGGTGCAAACATACAAGGACATCCCACGGTAATAAACATTACAGGAGGTCACACTATGTTTTTATTGAAATCCATCATTGTTGGCGAGGAAATAACCTTGGACGACCCAATCCAAGTATTTGTTGACACGGGCTCGTCGATGTCTCACTTGTCCACAGATTTGTACTACAAATTTGTGGATGAGTTCGACGATCTGATAGGCAGACCTCTTTCCTATGAACCAAGGTTGTGCTACAAAGCGGATGCCATAGAAAGGCTAGAAGATATGGATATTGGCTTTGCATTTGCGGGAGGAGCAGAGTTGAGCGTCAATATCCACAACATATTCCTACCGCAAGGTTCCTCTGGAATTCGATGTTTGGGGATCTTGAACAACAAGGAATCGTTTACACATGTCATCATTGGGGTTATAGCCATGCAAGGATACAACGTGGGCTACGACCTCAAAGCAAAAACTGCTTATTTTAGTAAACAATATTGTGATATGGAAATGTAGTGCAATTGTGTTGTCGTTTCTTTTTATTTTAACAATTATAATAATCATTCAAGCTTATTGTAAGAACTTACATCTTAAAAATATAAGTTTAAACTAAATATATTTGTTATACGTATATGTTCACATTAATTATGATGAAGAAAAAGTATTAGATTTTCCAGGGCAAGTTTGATCTTTGAAACTACTTCTAGTGCATGCTTTTGTAAGTTTAGTGTTAGGTTTTGAATATGTATTAAATTTTAAGAAAAATATACTCTCATGCAAAGGATATCTGGACATAAGAATTGGGAAATCCTTAGGTAGGTTACCTTTCTCGGAGAGAAAACACTAGTTACATGCTTTTTAAATTACCTTTTAATTCAGTTAATATAATAAGTTTACCAATGTCGTATCTAGAAATACAAAAATCTTGGTAGCTCGGGTGGTTAAGTTTGAGTTAGAACAAAGGTTGTTGAAAGGTTCGATTCCTTTCAATTATGCATCATAAAACTTTTTTTTTTTTTTCTTTTTCTGTTTCCAAATAAGCAAGGTAGCCTTGGTGTTTCTACTTTTATATTTTTTTGTTTCTTCTTTTCTTTCTTTTTTTGTCTTTGGTCTTGTGTAACTTGTGTATTTACCAAAGTTTTCAATTGGTGCATGTAGGTCTGAGCATTCGGTTTTCCGGATCGGTTTTGGGACGAGTTTTTTCGGATACGAGTTACTCATGTAGAGAGGCTTAGGATCCGTTTGGGTTTTATGACAATTCGGTGCGGTTTGCTTATGTGCTCGAACCGGATTTTTTCCCAAAAAAATAATTAAAAAACTTGTTCAATTTTAATAAAATCAGTTTAGATTTGCATTTTTTTTAATTTGGCAAATATATAACTAACAATTTTCAAATATTTCAGTTATATCCTGTATTTTTGATATTTAGTATTTTAAGTATATAATTATAACTAAATATAACTAGTATTTTATATATAATTTTATTTTGGATATTTCGGTCACCTTTTTTTTTTTTTGGTTCTTCTCCGGTTCTAGTAATTAATTCAGATAGGAACGTTTATGACTTGTTCGAGTTTTAATGAATACTAGGATATGACCCGCGGTATATTCAGTTATTATTTAATATTTAATGATGTTTCCTTTTTTGTTTTTGTAGACAAATCATACCAAAAATATTGACGAAGCAAATCTCAGAATATATTGGATCATTTAATCTCGTTATTTGTTTTGCAAAAAATTAATGAAGGATCCGAATTAAATATATTTATTTAGTTGTAGTAGTTGTTTATTTACTAAAATACCCATGTAAAAATTCATTTAGTTAGTCTTAAACTACCCTCACAATGTTGTAGTTCACAAAATGCTTCCCAATTAATAGTATAGATTAACATTTCAGAACTCACAATCATTCAAAGCTTTTTTGCATTTTTCATCTTCTTTTATAGTTTAAACAAAATGTCTATGCTGTTTAGCACAAATTTTATGTAATAGGTATCAATAAATATTTCCTCTCTAATCTAATTTTGGTTCTTTACTAATTCACTTCTACTCTAACTATTTTTTTTTTTTATGATTTACAGTTAAAACATGGGAAGCAATGTTTTTCAGAAAAACAAAGAATTATCCAAATCATAGATTTGAAGAGAAGCAATGTTTTTTCCTTTTTCTTGCCTACATTCAAGAAACGTTACAACATCATGAACTAAGTGTTATTTTACAGTAAATTTTTACTCATTTATTTTCTTTCTCCAGAATCTCAAACGTTATATTTAAAACAGAATAACTTTGTATAACAAAAGTAACAGGTTTTATCTTTGGCAAGCAATAAGTACGTAAATAATACAATTCGAGTATACCATCTTCTTTCTCATTTTCGTAAGTAATATTATGTCAACTATTTCATAATCAGTAGCTGTAAAGGTGAAAACTGAATACCAAGCAACTTTTCAGAAAGTTAAGTAGTTTGAATCTATTATATACTACTTTCAATTTAACATACCAAGAAAATATGAATAGAAACACTAATGTAAAAATAATGTTCCCACTAACCTTTTTACATATAGATTTCTGGATAGGTCCAATGACAACATTTCTCTTCCCTTCTCCATATTCTTATGTTACTTGCAAATGATGCTTCACCTTAACACATTAATTTTGTTATAAACAAGTTTAAATTTAAAAATACTTATGAAACAATACAATAAATTTTACTACCTCTAATTTCTAAATTACTACTTTGATTTTAACATACTAGGGCAAAACTATGTGCTATATATGATCTACCTTAACTTAAACTCAAAAAAAGTAGGTAAATCTAATAAACAAAAAAAAATTCTATCAATTGAGATCTCACTATACATTGAACAAACAAAAAGGAAAGTTTTGTCAAGTTTTAAAACATACAATGACAAAAGAAATGATATCTTCAACAATTCTACTAATTCAGAAACAGTGACAATAGCTAAATATTATTATGGATTAAACCAAATTTGAATCCTTAACAACTCACTAACCTTTAACATTGCTTCCAGATTCTGTTATGGCTTCTAAACGCCTCCTTTAAAAGACTAAAACTCGAAATTTTTTACTTCTCTGTAAACATGGAACTTTGTATCATCAGCACCATATATATTAAAAACATTATTTGTTTGAATAGAGCCGTAACAGAAAACTAATCTTTGTACATCGTCTTCATTGGGCAAAATCATCATCTTTCTAATTATCTGAAATCAATTTAGGAACAAATTAAATGTTAACACTTATCAGGAAACAAAATCAATTGTCAAAATCTATACGCAATCCAATTTTAAACTCTATTAACTTCAACGCTTTCAAGATTCATGTAGATAGATTGAGTTACCCGGTTGAACACAAAAAAATTAGAAAATCAAATTCGGATCTAAACAAAAAATATAATTGACAATACTCACTCATGCAAGTTTGGGTTATTCACAGTCATTGTCCAAGATTCTGTTATAACACAGAATTTCAAAGATTGTAAATCGAATCGGAAAATTTTAGAAATAGATTGATTGAAGAAGAATCTTTAAAAACCTTACCTCTTTGTAGAACTCCGAATCTGAGATGGAAATTTGATAAACGGAGACGTAATAGGTTGATTGTCGACAATTTTTGTCATTGATTCAAAGATCGTATCATCTTCTGATTTGTAGGTTTTCGTTAAATGTTCTGCGATAAGACACATATTGTTCGTTCGACAATAATTTTTCCAAAAAAAAAAGAAAAAGCGAATCAATATATTAAATATAAACAAATAAACGAAACCGTGGATCGATTTCAATACTATTTTAAATGGGCCTACAATAATTCCAGCCCAAATACAATAGATTCGTTATTCATTCATGAAAAGTTTTGCTTTGGGTCAGTCGTTTACATAAATTAACATTGCAACAAATTACAAACAATAATTTTGTTTCACAAAATAAATAATTTTATAATTTAAGAAAAAAATATTCAGTAAAAAGCATAATCAAAATTCAATCTTACAAAATAAAACACACCAATTTTGCAACTTTCAAAATAATTCAACAAAACCAAACAAAGCTATCCAATCATTCACCAAACACAAATTACTACATTCTTACTAATCTGAAATTTTCAAACTTTAAAACCTATAAAAAAAAAACAAAGTTATGTACCAAATTTTATTTTAAACACAGAAAAACATCTTCACTTTAAGTTTCTAATATTATTGTATCTATTCTATTGACTAATTGACACAAGAAACAACAACAAAAAAACATTTACTTACATACTATATTAACACAAATGTATTGACTATATGTTATACAATACATATCTTATAATATAAAATTCCGCACGTACGTGCGGGTCCGGACCTAGTTACTTTTATTTAAAAAGATTTATATTTATAGGTTACGGTAAGTATGTTGTAGGTTTCATTTATAAACAATTAGATATAAAACACACATATTTTATTAAGTCACAATGTACCGCGGGTATAAATTTACATATGTATTATTTATCAGTTTAAAATAATATTCTTTTAAGTATATAGTTTATTATTGGTTGGTTAGAAATTTTGTTTTTGTTTCCTATATAATAGCTCAATTAATTATTTAAATTAATATTTCACACTTGATATAAACTGATTTATTGGACAAACGAAAATAAATGTGGTAAATGTAATTTTTTGTAGGAAATTTACTTATTTATTTAATTTATATGTGTGTCCTTAAGTGTAACAAAATAAATAAATAGAAAGGATAAAAAATACTAAGACAAATTAAATTTCTATATTTTTCAATTAATTATATCGAATAAAGGGTATAGATAATGTTTTTTTTTTTACCTGAGAAAACAATGAAAACAAAGAACCGAACAAATCTCTTTCATCTTCTTCTGTCTTTTTCAATCTCTTTTGAAAACCTTCAAGAATCTGGTTCGATTAGACATGTGTATTGAAAATTAGCGAAGAACCTGTTCAACAACTCCAAATCCAAACCCAAATTTCCCGATATCTTAGTTCGACTCCAACTACACGCTGAGGTTTTGATTCGAAGATGTGATTGCAAAATGATGAAGAACAATTCAATTGAAGACAATCTAGGCGAGAACGAAGATCCAATTTATCCCATGAAGACCCGAAAACAACCTATCCGATCTAAATGTTCATTTTGTCTCGATTCAAAGGTAAGAGAATTTCATCGTTATTGCTTAGTAATAATCGAATTAATTTCATCAATAGCGAAAATTGATTGTGAATAACAATGTAATCGGAAATATATTTGTATAATACGTCAATCAATGTAATCGGAAATAATGCTTCTGATTTCTAATCTTCGATTTTGCTTGGTCAAAAAAAAATCTCCTGTAGGTTTTTGTAATCGTTGTGGAAATGAATCGGGAATAATGCTTCTGATTACTAATCTTCAGTTTTTTTTATACTCTTAAGCGGAGTCGCAGCCGGGAGAAACCAACCGAGGAAGAACAATCTCAGTGAGAGGAAGATCACTTCTCCGTTGCAGTCATGGGTCAAATGCATAGTAGAGGAAATTTGGAATGATTTGGTTAGTCATTGACTCTGATTTTATTGATGTCATTTTTGTGATATATTAAGAAATGGTTGTTGATCGTTGGTGATATTCATTAACTTTGTCAATAGGAAATATCTATAAAGCTTTTCGTGATGTGATAGTTCATATTGGTTATTTAATATGTCGATGAGAATTATCTACGTGCTTGCCCTCTCCAGGTAGGCTTACTTGATGCTTCTTTTGTTTAGTTTGATTGGTCCTGATGTTTGTTTTGATGATTGACATAGGTTGATGAGTCCATTTGTTTTGCTGATTGAAAACCTGAGGGAGTTATCATTGGTTTACCGTTGTTTATAGGTTGTTGCAATCCTATCAACCTAACAATTCAAAGATACAAATAGAGAAGAAACAAATCAGAAAACAAAACCAAGATGTCAAATTTTTTTAGAAATAGTAGAAAAAGAATGATAGTAAAAGAGTTAGATAGAGATCGATTGAACCACCTTTCATCCGCTAAAACTAATTATGTAGTATCTCTCTGAATTCCTTTTTGCTTTCAGATTATAAGGATTCTGAGACAGAATCGCCAGTCAAATCTTTGTTCATGTCACAAAGAACCATACGAATGGAAAATGAAAAAGAGGTAACTTTAGGATGAAAAGAATTGAAGGTGTTTTGGAAAAAAAATTTGACTTTGTTTAGAAGTGATGTTTTCTCTTAGAAATGAAATGGATATATATAGAGGACATATACGATTAGGTTTAGATATGATACATTTGCGCAAAATCTTTGTGAGCAAGCAAAATCTCTTGAGTTAATTATAAATTGCCTAGAATTAGAAAACTAAATGAATAATAATTAAGGTTGTTATGGAATTAGTTCCAAAAATCAATGAAATTAAGATATCTATGAATATTAATTTTAGTTGTAAATGGAAATATGCTATTAAAAATCTTTAAAATTGGAAAGTTATAGAATATACCACATAGATGCTATAGAAAATAAGAGTAAAATCGTTTATTTATGCAAATTTTCCAATTGTTCTTGTTGCTATTGAATGTAGATGTTATATTGTTCAATTTTATTAGGAAACAAAAGATATTTGCCGAATATATTTAGCAATTAAATAGGTTGTGATTAACAAATCTGTTTTATTATCAGAATCTGTATTATTGATTGCGACCCATAATCAAATAACTAATGTCGTTTTAATTTGTTTTTTGGTAGGATTAGCAAGATCCGATTGGCTTTTTGATTTTATGTAGGAAAGTTTCAAATAAGGATCCAATTGTAACGATTATTGCGGGTCATTTACACATTGTTAGGATTTTATAGATTAGGAATGTAATTAAGAGGATATTTAGTCGAATTAGTTGATTTTTTTTTTGGAAAGTCGCATTTAAAAGAATCCGAGAGTTTCGATTGGCCAGTGAGTCGGGTCAAAAAATCTAATCGGGTCAAAATCTCACTAAAAACCCGACCCGATTGGCTTTGAGCAAATTTGTACTTCAAAAATGTTAAGTAGATTTGGTTCAGTTTGATTTTCGGATCCGCGTATTTTACCTATACCTAGGTGCATCCGTCCATGTAGCAATTGTTTCTGATATAATCTTTTTTTTTTTTCGCCCCTGAGATAATCTTCCTTAGAGATATGAATTCAAAACAAAATTATTTAAAGAACAGAAAAAAGTCCCACACAAGAATAAAATCAAAAACGATAGACATGAACGAACGGAAAATAAAAACAATTCCAAAACCGAAAAAAAAAAAACAAACTGAGGAATTAAACCATGCCAGCTTCTGCACTAAGGCCATACATAAGAAACGTCAAGAGATTTGTACCCTCAGATTGACGACAAGAATCATACTGCATTGGCCATAGTTTACCGTGAATCTTGTTCCGCAAGTCACCGTATGGATATCCATTATGATTCTTCCACTCGCCCCAAAGCTGAACATAACTTCGAACTTTGTCTTGTAGGAACAATGATCGGTTCATGTAATTGGTAGATGTCGAAAGTGAGTATATACCGTATTTCTTGTCTGCTTCTTGTTGCCATCCTCCAATTGTCTCTCTCAAAATCCTGATATAGTCAATCTCCGATTGATCTAGATATTGTTTTTCTTTTTTATTGGGATCTGGCCTATATAATGCGATCGATGATTCAACTAATAGGAAGAGGATGAAGAATTTTATGGCCAGAGACATTGTTGAAGATATCAATTAGTGTGTTTTGTTTTTTTGAAGTTGTGATGATGGATGGAACTTTGTTTATAATATATATACAAGCTTCTCGACTTCTTTTTTTCAATTGGGATTAGTTTTTTTTTTTTAACTTTTGACCAATGAAATTTCTTGATTCTGTTTGCCTTTTTTTTTTTCTTTTTCTGGTAGGATATGTTAATTTTAATGTTTATCGTTTTGTTATATATATATCGTTTTGTTTCTACAACATACTTGTTTATTTATTTATTTTTATTTTGATGATCTTAGTCATATTTTAAGAATATCTACGTTTTTTTTTAATGGAAAATAACCATGATAAATATCAAATATGAGATTCCAGATTTTTAGGAAACAAGAAAACTATTCTTTGGCTAAATCGCTTTTTCTCTATTTTATATATATCCTATAAATAAATTAGTTTAATTAGGCTTATATGTAACCCTAATCTAATCCCAAGAGAAAAAGGAGTGGAGAAACTTCTGTCCCGATTATATATCACGACACCGATCAGAAACTAGAAGCAATACACAAAATCCTAATTGATGTCTCTGCCGATGTCTCTCGCCATAAAACTCTTCATCATGTTCTTATTGATTGAATCTTCCATTGCAGAACATAAACCAGCTGATGTAGATCAGGTAAACGTAGATATGTCAGAGATTGACTATTCCAGTTTTTTCAAACAGATGATTGAAGGATGGCAACGTGAAGCAAGCGAGAAGTACCCTTTTAGGCCAGATTTCAAAAATTATGACAGTTCTTCTTTCCTACAAAGCCAAGACCAAGCTTATGTCAACAGATCTTTCTTTCTTCAAGGCAAGGCCCAAGCTTATGTTCGTGAGTGGAACAACTGGAAGCCATACCGTGACTTGGGGAACAAGATAGGTGTGTTGTGGCCAACTCAAGATGATGATTGTCCTCAAATTGAAGCTATGAATCTCCTGACCTACATGATACATGGCCTGAGTCGTCGATACAACATCCTTCCTTTAATTAAGTAAATTGTTTTTTTTTTTAATCTAATTTTCTAATTAGTTTGTCGTCTAGGGGTTTTGGTTGATTTTTGTTTAGTTGATTACTATTATTTTATCTTTGCTTTTTTATTTTTTATTTTGGAAGGTTAATAAAGAACACTTAAGTTTTTTTATACAGAGATTCTATTCTGAAAGAATTATATTTCGAGTTAGCGTACCAAAATAGTTCAAGATCTATACCGAGAAGTGTTTAAGACCTTAGTTCTGCGTACAAGCTATCCCCTGTTTACTTTTACATGTTATATGTGAAAGTCGATACATTATTTTCTCCTTTCCTTGTCCCACAATCGATCAGTCAAGGCATCCTCAAATCTAAGCAAAATAACCGGAACCAAAATACTTAACCTAACAATAAAAAAAACGAACTGAATCCAAACCGTAATTTTAAGAAAATGGATCCTAGTATTCCCTAACCGAACCGAACCAAAAGGAAAAACGAATGGGTACCCGAAATATCCGAAAACAAACGAGTACCCGAAACAATTCAAGAAAGTGTTTAAGACCTTAGTTCTGCTTATGTCCAAATTATGTTATTTGGCTTGGAGAGCATTCCACGGACATGCTATACTCTGTTTACGTACTTTGCTTTTACATGTTAATCGATACACAATCAAGGCAAGGCAACCTCAAAATAAACAATCAATATCCTAAAAAATTACGCACTTTGCTTTGTTTTTAAGTTCGGTTAAGTTTTGTTTTAAAAATAATTATAACTAGAAATTGATCCGCGGTACACCGCATGACAATTTATTATTTAAAATATATGATTTTTAATATTTTTAAGAGTATGTATCATATATAAAATTTTGCAAATTGTATATTTTTATGACATTTATATTTTATAGTTTACAATTATCATTAAATAACACTATACTTCGGAAAAGTTTTTGTCTTATACAATTTTAACTAAATCATGCTGATTTGATATGTCTAATATCGGTGGTGTTAAAAATATAAAATAAAGATTTAATCCGTATTGAAGCGTCGGGTTAATAATATTTTAAATTTTTATTAATGTTGATTAAAATCTGTCTTGCCATTTAACTCTGTCCCGCAATGTAACCCATCCCGTGTTATTTTTATTTTTTAATTTTTATATGTTCAAATATTCATAATATTATAAACTTTTTATTGATTTGAAATATTTTAATTATAATATTTAAACCCTTTTAAAAGTTTAAAATTTACTATATCCGGTAAAATTAAACAGTTTAACTAAAAGATCGGATTAAATTGTATAAAAATATTTAAATTTTAATGCTTGTTAAGTTAAGTTTTCTGCTCATTCGGATTTGGATTCATTTTAATCTTATTTATAATATGACGCATAATCATTATCTAAGCATTTTAGCCAATGTGAGACATTGAACACACACATTTTCATAAATTGAGTAATATATGTCCGCATTTTTTCCGGAAAAAATCAGACTTTCATTGATTTAAAAGAGTTATTACAAAGTCATTTACATAATTAATGGAGAACAATTATTACACAGAGAAATAGGTTTCATACACTAAGAAAAATATAGCAGAAGAGAGATTGACGATTCTTTCCGAAGAGTAGTCTTACTCGCTAACCGACCATAAGATCCATTATTGTCCAACTTCTTATTTGATTTCTCCATGTTATGATTGGCAAGCAACAACTTGTAGCTGATCTTTATTTTTGCAATCGTAGTTTTAAATCTGATGTGTCCACAAAGAACTCTGAAATGTAGACACGGTGGTACCTACAAAACGTCCATACCAAATTTTTTCTGAAAGAACTCTCGACTTTGTAATTTTTTATAATAAAATCACAACTAAATCTACCATTGTACTAGTTTCTGACTATAGCAT